CTTAACCTTCAAAGCAATCACAAATGTTCGACTTAGTGAAAAGGGTGATGACTTATTAATTTTGTTCTAAGGAGGATCAGTGGATCAGATGTCTCTCTTACATCTCTCTCATGCCCATCCTCACTCTTTCTCACACACACACACATACACTCTCAGAAATCTGGATTATGTTAAGAGTAAAATTGTGTAAAGGCATCCCCCCAAAAGCTTTTGAAGTTGGTGCTCTCATGGCAAAAATCTAATTCTCTGACATGCTCATATCATGCTGACTCCTTCTCTGTTCTCTCTCGCCATCTCCTCTGATCCAGCCTCTCCCTCCCTCCCTTCCCCCAGTTTACACCCCCCCCCCCCCCTTCTCTAAATTCCAATCAATCTAAGCCTCTGCAGATCCAGTGGTTTATTTCTCATCTCGCTTCTTCTGTCACTGCAAGCCTTGTCCCCTGACCTTCTTCTTCTACATCTACCTTTGACCTTTATTCATCAATGCAGCTGGCCTTCTCAGCCCACATAGAAATCTCTATAGATTGTGTCTCTTGAAGTAGATAAAAAAGGGAAAACTTCCATGGCTGAGCGAACAGACAAACAAACAGCTAAACGAATGTTTGCACAAACAAATGGCTGCCCGGCTGGATTAATGAATGGACACGTAAAGAAAGTGGAGGGAGGGATCGTTGTAGGAATTCATCCATTTGGTTTCTATCCGAGCCCCAAGGCACTGGTATGTAATTGCTTCATGCATAGTTGATACACTACATAATCAACCAAATACACTAGATTTCTGTGTTTATGGAGAAGGCTACACTTGCATTACAGACCATTGGGGAAGTTTAGATTCAATGCGAGGCGTCTGATAATGGAAAAGCTCATTCATATCTGAGTGCTCATCTCTCCCCTTTAGAATGGACAGATACACATGGGATCAGTGGAAGGTAGGAATTAGGACCATGTTGTGTTTTATTCATATAGAACAATGATGAAATATTCATACCAGTGTTGTTGTTATGCTTTCTTTTGCGACTCTTACCTCTCATGTACACAAACCCTGATTAAAAATCCGATGGACTATGGCCACAAATTGGTTCCGTTTGCGTAGGAGCGTAAAAACAATGCAAATGCATGGAAGGAGTTCCCACTGGGCTTCAGCAGATTGTGTTCATGCAGCATGCAAATGCCTGAAGCATGAAGCTGGTCCAACCTATCTCAACCCAATACAGGCAAGCTCAACATGCTGAACTATATAGAGGGATGGATTTCTTGGACAAGAGATGCATGCCAAAAACCACACCAAGCACACATACACAAGATCACCCATAGACATATACACACACATAAGCTTGACCAGCCAGCCATTCATACTTACAGGCACACACACCCAGGCAGCACCACACACACAAAAAGAAACAGCGTGATGCGAAATGGTTTGGCTTCATGAGGTGAATGAACAG